GCATGGCCTAATGGTTACCACAGATGTACAGAATAAAAAGATTCGACACAGGCTCTGTAGAGGTGCATTTTTTTTCTTTTTTTTTTTTTTTTTTTGGTGATCCTTTTAAAATTGAATGAAATGAAAATAAAATAAATTCCACTGTTCCCTTATTTTTCTTTCCCTCGTACGTACAAATGAATGTCTAGAGCAAACGATAACTAATGACGGTAGACTCTATCATTATTTAACGATGCTTATTATCAATTTGTTGATTTAAAATTTAGATTAACCATAGCAAAATGTGTTAAAGTTTTGTTTTGTTTTTTATATATGGATTATTTTTTTCGTCTGGATCTAGTCAATGGGAGGTTCGAAACCCACCCCTACTTTATCCTGCAGCCCTCGCTTAGTGAGTAGCGCCTAAATATTTTCACCATTCCGAATTAAGTACTGACATGCTTTTGTTCGACAAATAAATAGTATTCAGATCATTCACTATCGGTAAAATGTGCACAGAATGAAAATGAAAAACATTAAATAAAACCAAAAATGGTTTATAAAGTTAAATTTTCATTGGTTATATCAGGGAGCAAATGGTTAAATGAATTATACGTACTTGGTTCTGGTAACTAAAGGCAGGTACTTGTGGAAGTCTATACCAAGTAATAAGTAACATCCATTCAGCCTGAAATTCTGTTTTATCAAAACTATTTTCTTCTGACACTGGCGAACTCCTGATTTGGTCTGTAACAGTTTGCAGCATTTCTTCTGTGCCAGCAGATGGATTTTCCTTATTATACACCTACACAAGAACGACATTAGTAAACATTACTCTAAAGAATATAATTACCATATCGTTTAGATATTAATCAATATTAAAACAGCAAGATTTAAGTTAATCTTACTCTTTCTTCTTATTTAAAATCTTCTTCACATTTTGACAAAATCAATATCAGCAATGTTGTTCCTTCAGGCACTTTGATTTTTAAAAAGGGTAAGGAGTATCGCGTAACATAATCCACTTTACAGTGAAAATGTCTATGTCTTTACATTTTAATGATAAGATTTGTATAGCGCCAATTCCAAATCAATGCTTAAAAACGTTTAGAGTTATTACCGCTCCTCTGGTCGCTGGATAGCATAAACCAGCAAACCAGCAAAATTTGGACCAATTTTTAAAAATATGGACCCATTATTTGTGGGACCATTAGAAAAATTGTGTGGGACAGACCTAATAGATGGCTACCCGGAATTGAGTACAGTCAATGCCACAACCCATTTATACTCCTGCGTACAGAGACAAACGCAAACAAAGTACCTTGCCTAAAGACACAAGTGACTTGCACAGCGAGAATTAAACCCCCGACTGCTTCTAACAAATTTTACAAATTTAGGTTCTGCCACTTGGCTACTCTATAGCTTATACACGTCTACTCGATGCACCTTTATGCAATCAGAGTTATGGCCAAGTATAGTATAAATATCAATGTTTATGTAAATTATTAAACATTTAAACATTGAAATACATTAGGCATAGTTCGATTTGTGAAAATGCCTCGCAGATTACGTTTTATTGTATAACAGAGTTCAGTCACAATAAAAAATATTTATTTATAATCTGAAAATATTATGGACACCATTGTGTATATCCATAACCCTTCAACACTAATCATTTAATATGCCCAACGTATCATGTGGTAAAAGATGATGCAAGTCTCCTATGTACATAGGCCACTCTACTTTGGGAACACATATAATCTTAAATACGGATTCAATGCAATTTTCTAAAACATCATTCTTAAAAACGTAACAGGAAACGTGTATTAACCATTAGTTTTCACTTCTTTGTATTTACAAAGTAAATGTACTAACAGCAATTGGAAAGGGCACTAGATCACTTCACAGTCATTTCTTACTTAAACTAAATAACAGATACTAGCCCTATAAGACTCGTGTATAAATACATTTCTCAATTTACTTTTATCTATATGTATAATTATTGTAAAGTGCAACGTCTAGTCCCGAGCGCATAGAGACCATGTATTATGCGCTATATAAGTCTCCAACCATTACCATTACCATATTAACTATGCTAAGGACAAAATATAACTAATGTTTTGTAATTGGCTTCAGTTACTGCATTGTGTTTTATATTAATAACAATGTAAATATTTAAACACAAATGAAATAGAATTCTGAGGAACCTATATAAAAAGAGTAAAAGAAAAATAAATATCAAGGTAATCCTTAATTGGAAAGAGAGAAAATAAGGAATGGTGAAGTTTAAAAAACGAATCCAAGTTGTTAAACATATCAAACCTGATAAAACACATCTCCTCCAAACTCTAAGGACATGTCAGCATCAGCCCAGAAAGGTGCAATTATCTGTTCAGAAGTGCTTGACTGGAAGCCGCCGATCACAGGATGAGGATAGGAAAACTTTTCGTCATTGACACTTGACAATACTACCACTCCGTTATCTGTGAACTGGTATAAACACATTTTTTTCTATTTTATTTATATTTTTTTTTGTTCTAATCACTAACCGGTTCGCTCTCTTTATTCTATTTTTTTCTCAGCGGTCTAGTAAAACACTAAATATCAAATATAACGTTGATGTCAAATTTAATGTTAAGAGTAGAAGCGGAGTGAAAATGACTTTCTCTCATAAATTTCGCTTCCTTCTCAAAAAATGTACAGCCTCACCTCTAGCAGGAAACTCGGCCTCGGGCCCAAATTCTTAGAAAATTCAGTAAGTTTTTTTAAGAATATATAAAAAAAAAATTATAAACATATTATCTCATATTTAGATAGCAGTAAGGCGATTATATACTTACATATATGTTATAATAGAATGTGCTTCCAAACGGAAAACCGGTAAGTGGCTCGATGTTTGGTGAAATGACGTCACGACCAGAACCCACTTCCTGCCTAAGGCTTGTGTCCCCATTTTCGACACCAAACGGCAATAACACGATTTCTAATAATTAATTAAAAATATTTAGGTAAGAGATATTTCTTTCTTCAAAGGTTGCGTTATGTCTCGAACAATTTAGAAAAGTACAAAGTAACAGGCCTATTATAACACACAGATAAATCACATTCAGTTGGCTTAAGTTCTTTCTCTATAAGAATAAAAAGTGTAGCTGCGTTAGGCTGCTGTAGAACAATATGAACGAAATGACAGAAGCACATTTAAGACTGTATAACATTTAATCTCTGGCTTTTGTCCACACACAGTGGACTTCATCAGCAGACTGCCTCATGATGAAGTCCACTGCGTGGACGAAACTAGGAATTATATTTTATACAAGTTAGTCTAAAAGTGTTATATTTTGAGTGCATTTACGTGGTTTAAAATAATGTATTAAGCAATAAAAAAGATGAAATTACCTATACACATCTCTCCATCTCCTCTATATCCCTCATTACAGGAACAAGTGTATGAGCCTATTGTGTTTGCGCATGATCCTGCAGGCAACGATGCACATGTGTCTGTATCATTTGCGCACTCGTCGATATCTGAACAAGCAAATTAATAAAATGTGACTGTAGTTTAAGTAAGGATTGTTCATAAACTTTGACGATTAGGATAGAAGATGTAGTTAGCAAAACGGGTAAGGGATGATGCCAGGATTTGCCAAACAACGGGTCTGAGGTCACCAACGGAGAAAGCAGGGGGCGATTCTAATACGAGAGCGTAAGTGGGTGTGTAGTCGGGCCTCGGTTAAAATCTCTCGGAAGTGATCCAGTAATTCGAAAAAATATAGAGGGTTTCAAAGGCTTATTTAATCGATTTTAATATCTACTAATATGTAAAAAAAACCCAAAAAACAATTGTTCTTATCTCCGTGTATTTTTCGCCCTCACAGGGGAGGGAATGGGAAGCTTTCCCCGACAGAGAGCCTTTTCCATTTCCCCTCACCACTGGCATCACCCTTAATCTGCTGCAAGTCACGTGTACATGATACTGACATATCAGGTATGTGGTCCCTCTATGCTTTTAACATTGTTTCAATTATGAAATACAAGTCGATATTAAATGGTGGAAAATATAATCTTTGTTGAGGATAGGAAATATTATTTTGGTTGAATCTTTCATTGCCAGACTTCCCATTTCGACACAGAGACGAGAAATACAAATCAAGCTTTAAAATTGGCATTTAGAAATGCTTAAATCCCATGTAATAAACAGTTTACTACTTTTCAAACAAGAGATTTAAAAACTAAACAAAAGTCTTTGGTTCCACCACTGTTTCTTATTTACTATAAGTACATCTACCTTTTAAAATTATTAACATTACACTGGAGTTAAAATAAATATAACTAAAATGCTGCCTCTTTGTTGAGCCAGATATGAGGACATAATGCTTAAAACTACGTAGGCATAATACAAAAAAAATAATGTGATGCGTAATTAGAAAAGTTAATCAACGTACGCCGTTTCTACGGCTCTACTTTTACGTTTTCTAAGAGGTCATGATATTTATGTGTGAAACCAATGATAGGCCTGCACTAAAATTCACAAACCTTCACATGAAATCCCATCGCCTTTATATCCAAAGTTACACTCGCATCTATATGAGCCCAGCGTGTTAATACAGGCAGCTTTGACGGAACAACTGTCACTTTCTTCCATACATTCATTTATATCTGAAAGCAAATTAGAATAAATGTTATTCTTCATTTGTCATATATTAGGTTGTCATTTTTAAATAGACTTAATGAGAATACATCAAGTTACCTCTACACATGATTGTAGTTGTTGTGTACTGTCCGTCCATACATACCGCAGTCACAATACTATTTACATCTGGTCTAAATCCACCTTCACAACTGAAAGTGATGTTTTCACCATGAACAGTCGATCCCGATACATATCCATGCACAGGTGGAGTTGGCAAAATGCAGTTTTCTATAAACACATAAATACATCAGTAAACAATGCAATATATCACTCACATGATATGTAAGCATACGCATATACATTACGGTACCTATTTAAATATAAATAATGATGATGATGACGATGATGATTATGATGACAATGATGATGACAACAAAGAAAAGTCAAATCATAAACAATGCACGACGTCCTCACTGCATGATTTCTAAGGGGTACTCATATTTAGCCATAAATATAGAATAGGCCTATAGGCCTATATTATAGTGCATAGAACACAGTAAAATAATATAATGTAATTCGAAGACAACCGCTGCATCAACCGAGCTCCAACATACCATGGCAGGTTGGAATGTCCAAAAATGTTCCGTCAAAGCAGGTACTTGATTTGGATCCCTGCAAAGTGTATCCGTCATCACAAACAAAGTCCACAGTCGTTCCGTTCCGATAGAATGTGTAGGCAAATGATTCGATTAAATCACCATTTTCTGGTGCGCCGGGTACTGGACACTTTCCTATCAAACAAAAAATGAAGCTGTCCTTGTTATGGTGGTGAAATCATCGCCTGCCAATCTTTATTGACAAAAACACGTGACATGCATAAATATAGCTATGATGACATCATGTCATGAGTCACCATGGGCCTTCATGACCATTTTTTTCGTCAAAAAAAATTTGATATTATTTCTCTGATCAATTTTGGTAACCATGCATTTGAAATGAAAATTAAATGTGTAGAAGCCTTGATAAGTTATATACTATGATAGGTGCGCTGACGTTATTGAATTAATCCTACTGATCGCTCCCCATCAAGGAACTAAGGGGAAAAACAAAAGTATGCATTATTGTCTGATTCATGATATTCTGTTTTGTTCATATAATAGAAGATGTGTTTACAATATAATAACATAATGTAATGTAAAACTATACCACAAAAAATTACCTTCACATAGTTCTGGAGATTCGTCATAGTTATCAAGACAATCGTACGGATACTCGTCGCAAGTGTATTCATCATATGTACATAGGCCAAATGGACATCTAAAGTATGAGGGCGGGCACGTGACTGGAATAAGATCAATTCGTAGAAGCTTAATACTGCTAAAATTTGTTGTGAAATGACGTGTGACGTCTAGCCGTTTGACCAGACTGTTGTATGAATATTTGGCGAAATTCCCTAGGCTAGCTTGTCAAAAAAAAAAAAAAAAACTATCGCGGCCGGCCAATCACTGCACACCAGACGATTGTCGGTCGACGGGATTTTGCAGAACGCAATGCGACGACGCACGCGCAGCGCAACGGATCGTTATTAACGACGATCCTTTCAGACTGCCACCGACAATCGACGGCAAACGGCGTCGCGTCATCTAGCGCTCACAAAGGGGACGGAGTTGGATTCGTCGTACGACGATCGTACGACGCAGTGAGTGCCCGAGTTTATTGAACATACTGTAATATCAAATTATATTTAACATATATTATTGCATGCTGAATATTAGCTGAAATGCCGACTCAAAGTGCACTGAAACGGACCACTATCAAAATATTAACAAGAGTTAAATATTTTAAATAGCCTCTCGAGATCGTCTGAATAGTTACCTACAAGAAAAAAAGTGTTTTTTCTGGTTTATTATTATGATCTAGTTTTGATCATTAAGTTTGGTTTTGTCATGGAAAATTAAATAATGTTTAGTTAATAACTAATCGATTTCTTACCTTCAAGGTGTGTATTTATAATAATATTACTCAACAAAATATTATATGCACATTTAATTGTGAGCTTTAATTTACATACTCTTCCTAAATCAGGTTATGTTTTGCACATATATTTTTAGCACCTGTGTATAACCTATTTCTGGTACGATTATTGGTAAGGTAAATGTAAAAAAATTACCATTGCATGTGTCAGCTGACTCATCATAGAGATTGTCACAATCGGGGAACCCATCACACAAAAATCCCTCATCAATACACATGTCTGATTCACCACATATAACTTGACCATCAGGACAAGCTAAAACAAAAAAATCATCGAACATGACAATTAACATAAAATATATATGTGTACGTTTTGTTGTAGCGGCTTCTGTTTAGTCTGTCAGTCACTCATGTGGCTTCCAAAACAATAAGACCGTACCGCCAAATAATGAAATATATGAAATGCTACAACCTTATAATTTGCTCAACCCAAGGCCTAATGCGTAGAAAATTGTACGCTAGCAACAATGGACCTTTCTGACGTGTCAATCAAATTTAACAACACTGACCAATCAGAACAGGGCCTGGACGACGCGCTTGTCCTAGAAGCACACGTGTGTGCGTATGTTTTTACACTGCCATTTTTATGAACAGCAACAGCATCAACATCATCGTCATTATCTTCAAGATCAAAATAGTGTCTTATATAATAATAATCATTGAGTATTAAATAATAATTTGAACACAATATTATAAATAATAACACATCATATCAACATACTATTTTGTTCACTGTAATATTTTAGAATATAAGTATTGTACTCTATGTATATTATAATGTACATAACTTACGATTTGGTGTTGTTGAGGGCGCTGTTGTTTGAACCTCTGTGGAAATACAATAATGATCCATCAATTTATGTTATCATATAATAACCTCATGATTAAGATTTAGCATTATCACCATCATTATCAGTATATAGTGCTTCACGTCAAAATAAAAAAAATATGTACAGCATGGTGCTGTCCGATTGTCTTGTAGTTGTCTGCTGTTTTTTGAGTACTACGAAGTACGTATTGCATTAAATTATTAAATATTACTGTAGCCTATGGCTAAAAAAAATCAGCAATAAAAGGCAGGTTTTAGAAATCGATCAGGTAAAAATAAATATACGCCTGGGTAAAAAGCATGCAGTAAGCTAAGCCTAGCATTGCCTTATTACTACTGAGTGATATGTTCCATATTGAAATTGCATATAGTGGAGTGTGATATATTTAGGTTATCGTTTTAAAACCACTGATGCAAATAATTGTTTAAAGCCTGTTGTTTGTATTGCGACATTG